AGGGCAGAACAGTCTCCTCTCCAGGCCCCTGGGAGGGTCTTGTCCTTGGGGTTTCTTAAGCAGAGGACTGACAGCCGCCTTTCCTCCACGCCTGGGTCTCCCAAGGACCTGAGTACCCGGCTAGCCCCGACCCAGCTCCCCACCGGCCCTCGGGCTGGCTCCTGCTACGGTGTTCTGCTCTGGCACGGCGCCCCAGGGCCAAGACGCTGGGCAGGGATGGGGTTTCAGCCTGATCTCAGCCACCAGCTGAGTGTGGCCAGGCTGCTGGGAATCAGGGAAGCTGGTGCCAGATGGAGGACAGCTGACCACGAGGAAGGAGCCATGCTGCCCTTGCAGTCCAAGGCAGGGGGCTGCGTCGTGCCCCCTCACCCCCCGGGTCCTGGTCCCAGCCGGCCGGCAGCACGGGGCCGGGGTTGAGCCATGCCCTGCTCTGCGTTTCACTTTCCACTGGGGTAAACCAGTCCACAGCCTGCAGCTTTCCCTGTGGGCGTGTCCAGGCTTAGGCACAGGGGTGGGGAGCCCCGGGCTGATGTGGGAGACACAGCCCCTCCCCCGGGGAGCCCCGGTTTCATGGGAGAGCCAGGCCCTGACTTCAGGGATTTTTCCGCTGAAATGAGCCCGCACACAACGCCCAGGAGCTCTTTCCAAAATACAAACCGACTACTTCATTGCCTAAAAACCCCTCATGGCTCCTCACCCACTCCATGGCAAGCCACCAAAGTCACTCCAGCGTGGGGTGAAGCTGGCGGGTGGTGGGCCTGCTGGCGAGGGGCTGTTGTGGCCCAGAGGCTCCTTGGAGGGCGCACGCGCACCTGTGTTTCAGCAGAACTTTCTGCTCAAAGGAGATGTGTTCTCGTAGGGCAGGAAGGGGGCTGGGTAGAGACCATCCTCTGACCACCTGCCAGCCGCAGGGGCTGTGGGGTCTGGGGAGCTGTCATACACGGAGGGGCACGCTGGGCCCTGGGGGATCCCCGGCTTGGGGGGAGAGGGCATGTGCCCCCGACCGTCCTGAGAGGTGACACCAGGTGAATCGATGTGGTCACAGGGTCAAGTTCATCTTGTCACCCAGTGCGGGGCTCACAGGAAGGCAGGAGAGTCTTCCTGCAGACAGGAGGGGGAAGAACTGGGGACAAGAGACCAGCGGGTCTGAGTGGGAAGGACAAACCAGGAAGTCGGGACAGGGGAGGATGTTGGTCGGTGGAGAGGCCTTGGATGCCTCCAGAAGCTTCGATTTGGTGCAAACAGGCTCCCTGTGCAGCTGGAGTTCCCGCAGGGCTCAGCGTGTAAGACCAGAGTCTGAGCTTCGCTGCCCGTGGGCTTCCAGGTGGCTTTAGACCTCATTCCCGGGTCCCCACCCTGTCTGCCTCAGGGCCCCCCGGACCCTCAGCTCCCTACCGCCTTCTAGACTCAGCTTCTCCACCCGAGCCGATGGCGTTCAGCTTTGCACAGAGCTGTGACCTGACGGAGGAGGAGGGTGCAGGTGGGGTCTCCAGGCCGCCCTCGCCATCCTGCCAGCACAGAGGCCCCGCCCCCGGGAGAGACGGGCACGCAGAGAGGATGCCATGACAGCGCCGCAGTCTCCTTCTGCGACGCCCAGCACTCGGCTGGGCTGCCAGGGACCCCGTGAGCGGGGCGGCTGTGCTGACGGGGGGACCAGCACACGGGGTGGGGCAGGGCCCCCTGCGGGGTGGGGGCTGTTCCCTCGCCCGCCCCACGTCATCTCTGGTGAGTTGTCCCTGTGGTCTTGGAGAAATCACTGATGGGAGTGAAAGAAAGGGACACTCATCGTCTACTTTTAGGCATAAATAGTGTTCGTTCCTGATTCATGCTGCTGGCCGGGCACCGAGAATCAGCTGTTTGTCCACCCTACAGGGACGTGGGAACAGGGCAATTATGGGCCTGGCACTCCGTGTCCACGGACTGACAGTCTTAAGAGGTTCAATGTGAACATTTATAATGTGTTACTCGTATTTTGCCCTGTTTGCTCATTTTTTCCTTTAAAAAATGCCAGAAGCCTCAGAAATTGCAAACGGCTGGGCGCTTCTCAACTTCCGACAAGCGCCGCTAAGCCTTCCGAGGATGAGGTCCGGGGGCAAAAGCATGCAGCCGGGAAGCCGGGGAAACGGATCACATCCACTGCTTGCCATGCGGAACGTCTGGGCCGGGAGGCGGACATCACGGGCTCAGGCCGCCCGCCCTGCAACCTCCTGGGTCACCCGGCTGCGGAACGCGGGGCCCACGTTCGCAGCTCTCAGCCTCAGCGTCCTTCTCTGCAAGGCGGGCAGACTGCTTCCACCTCCGATGTGGCCGTGGGCAAATGAGGCGACCCAGGCGGTGGGCGTCCACGGCCACGCAGGGACCCCAGTGGCCACGGGCGTGCAGGCCAGCGTCTCGGTAAGATGCCGGCTATGGGAGAACCAGGCTCACAGGCAGCGTGGGCTCAGTCTTGTTGGCACGAGCAGTTTCTCCTCCTCCTCCCGGCCCGATCGACGCCTCCACAGAGCGGCTCTCCAGAACGACTTAGTGGTCGGCGGTCTCCCCACAGTGGAGGTGAACCTGGCTGATTCGCCAGGTGCCCTTGGCAGGTCCTGCTCCTCTCCCGGCCTCCTCCATGCCCCCCTCTGAACAGGAGGAAGTCGGGTTAGATCCACAGGAGACACAGAGAGCAAACGGGCGGTGGCCAGAGGGGAGGGTGGCGGGGCCAGGGGATGCAAAGTAGTTGAAGGGGTGAGGAGGTACCAGTCTCCAGCTGGAAGGTAAAAAGCCACAGGATGTAGAATGCAGCATAAGAAGGACGGTCAACAGGATTGTGAGTGACAACTTTGGGGACAGATGACTTTGTGGTGAATGTTTCATAATGTGTGCAAATGTCGTTCACCTCAGGCTGACATCCTATCGCACGTCAACTATGTTTCACTTAAAGAAAAAGTGCAGGTTAAGAGCTAATACATCCAAAGGCTCAGAACAAGGTCCGGCCTGCCTGTGCGCTCTGCAGGGGTCCGTCAAGGCTGCGCTGTTGAGCCGAAGCTGTTGGATGCACCCAAAGCTCTGTCCAGCCCTGACCCTCTGGGAGGCTCTACCTGTGCCCGGAGACAGAGGCCTCTGAGACCCATCCCCACCGGGACCCTGGGCAGGGGCTCTGCCCACCGCTCCCTCCTGCGGCCCTCAGGTCGGCGGGGCCAGCTGGGCAGGGCCCTCACACAGGAGTGGATTGGGCCCTGACTCGAGTTTCTCTGCTGCTGAGAGCCGGCTTCATAAGCATGAAATTGCCCTGGGGTCCCTGAGGCCCTCATCCCTGTGAGGCCACAGGGGATGCATTACACGCAGCGGGTGGGAAAGGCGTGAACTGAGGCTGACCGGCGGGCTGGACTGGAGCGCGGGAGGGGCACCAGCCAGCGGGCAGCTGTGTGTGCGCGTTGGGGGTGGCTGGGTCCCGGGAGCCCCCGGGGAAGCCAGAGTGGGGCGAGGAAAGGGTGTCCACCCCCACCTCATGCTCACAGCCCACCTTCCTGGGAAGGAGGGTCAGACTGCAGTCCTGTGTCCAACCCCAGGCCCACGAATGGCCCTGAATCCTGATGTGGTCTCCACGGGGCTGCATGTGGCCCCTCTCCTTTCAGGAGAGTCCACTCTGTTGGTGACTCTGTGTGTGTGTGTGTGTGTGTGTGTGTTTGCACACGCATGTGAATGTCTTTCATCAGAACCACGTGCTCCCAGCCCATCCGCCCGGACCCCAGCAGGAGCAGAGAGAGCGCCCACCACGCTCGCCTCGCTGGAGAAGGACCTCTTCACGCCAGCGCAGGGGCAGGGGCGGCCTGCAAGTGAGCTCAAGTGCTCTCCTGAGTCATGTGAAATCACCGGCTTCCCAGGTCCACGGGCCCGGCCCCGGGAGCCCCCTCCGCAAGTCGCAGGACTCCAGAAGGGCCGAGAAGGCCAGGACCTCAGAGACCGTCCCGCTAAACCCAAGCCATGGGCAGCAAGAGGGCCCCTTATGGGCCTGAGCTCCCAGCACCTGCTGTGCGAGGCTGCTCCACTGACGGGGCAGGAGAGCGTTAATAAACCGTGATCCTTTCTCTCCCGAGTCACTGAGCCTTCTTGCAAGGCACAGAGGAGAACGAGTAACACCCACAGGCCCCCGCCCAGAGCTTGTGGTTGTGGATCCCCCCTCATCAAGGATGGCAGGGCCTTGCTCCTTGACATCCCAAAGGAAAAGTCTCTCAGGCAGTGCAGTGAGGTTCATGACAGGGAGAGATGGGTTCTCCACGGGCTAAAATCTGGGCCCTGGGAAAGACCACTGGAGAATGGTCAGAAGCCCCTGTCACTGGCTTGAGTGGTAGCCAAGGAATTCCTAGAAGGGCGGGGCTGGGGGTTGGGACCCCCCCCCACCCTGCTCTTACCCACTGCCAACCACAGGGAGCAGCGCCAGTGTCTGGCCCAGGACCCTTCATGCGGCTGAAGATTCTCACCTCCACGCAGCGGCTATGCCTGCGAGGCACAGCCACGTGTTACTGGGCGCTCCTTCGGCAGAGGATGAAGGATTGAGGACCGAGAGCAGAGGGTAAGTGAAGACCATCGGCCGTCTCGTCAGAGTCCTGAAACTTCCACCTCACCTCAGTGAGAAGGCTCCATGTATGGGACAGGCCAGAGTGGACAGGCACTCCTGATGAGGTCTGGCGGCCACTGGAGGCCTCAGGGGAGAGTCTACTAGCCACCCAGGGGCCAGCAGAGGCACCTGAGATGCTAAGGGTCCGTATTGGGCCCTGCTCACAGCCTCCCTTACCCCCCGGGACGACACAGCATTGGGTCCCAGAGGCCCCCTGCAGTAGGGCTCCCAGCCCCCCGGAAGGAAGAACACCTCAGGGTGGCTGGTCCACCTTCCTGGGCGCTGGACGCTTGCCCCTCAGTTCCACCCTCCTCTGACCCCTTTCCTGCCAGGCTGCAGAGTGGGTTTTGAAAAATGAGAATTGGATCTCATCACCCCTCCAGCTTAGGATACAGATCAAATTTCTTCAGTGGTTTCCAAAGCCACCCACCTGTCCAAGCTCTCCTCCCTCTGCTCTTTCCTGATCTCCCAACTTCAGCTCCCCCGACCGTCAGCTGTGGGGGCCGGGGGCCTGCCTGCGCTTCCCTGTGTATCCCCAGGTGCTAGACCCACGGGCCCGCGGAGGGGGTGTTCAGCACATATTTGTCGAATAAATGAAACACCATATTCTGACACCCAGAGCTAGAAACACACAGGGGCACATGCACACACACCGAGTGTGAGCTGTCAGACTCCTGCCCTCCTGGAGCGCATGCAGAGATAATGCCGATGGAATTGACAGTGTACTGACAGGGACGTGTAAATTCCTCTGCTTGAAGGAACCTTTGGCCCCACTGCCCTTCTCCTCTGCCTGAATCCTTGATCGAGCCTTGCTTATTGGCGGCAACAAACCAGTTCTCTGTTCTCAAGGAGAGAGCAGGTGGCTCTCCCAAGCAGAGCGGGCAGCCTTATCACTTTAGCTCCTCTGGGCCAGCCTGCCCTCCGCTCCTCTGGAGACAATCTGTCACCGGCTGCCCTACCCCTGATTCCCACCTTCCATGCACTCGTCCTCAAACACCCAGCCATCTGCCCTGCCCCTCAGCCCCCCGCCCAGCTGGCGGGGATACCCCTTCTGTCTGGAGAAAGCGCGCCTCCTCCTGGGAGGCCTCTCGGCCTCCCACGCTGCCCCACACTCTCCAGTGGCAGAGCCTTTGGGATCACTCCCTCTTGTCTGTCGGGCTGTGACTGGCTTCCCGAGTTTGGGTCTATCTGGTGCCACTTTGGATTGTGACTCCCAAGGGGGCAGCGGCTTTACATGTCCAAGTGACTTATGGTGCCAAGGGTCCCAAGGGATCGGCTTAGCTGAAAAATTAAGGCTTTGGATGATGAGAATATCCCCACTAAGAGGGTTCATATAAATGAGGCAGTGGGGAGCGGGCTTAACGAAGCCAGTCTGGCTAAGATCTTAAAGCTCTGCAAGGAGTTGTGTGAGATCCTGCCACAGGACCCTTCTGTCCCTGACCCCCCGGGAGGCAAGGGCATGAACCCCCGGGGCCCTGCCCCGCCGAGCCCTGGCTGGAGGAGGAGGAGGGAGGGGCTGAGTGGGAGGGGCAGAGGGAGGCTGACGAGTCTGCTGTGACCTACATCTGCTCCCAGCTCCTCCCGTCCCCAGCAGTCCATTCAGAGCCTCGGGCAGCGCGCAGCAGCTGGACACGGGAGGAAGGAGCCACGGGAGGCGGAAGGCGGCCTGTGTACCCAGGTGAGTGGGCCCCGTACACCTGGCTACCCACCCGGCGGGGGCAGGGCAGGGATGGAGAGGCTGGAATACTGAGGAGGGGGTGGGCGGAGGGCGTGAAACCCGCCGGGGGCGCTCCCTGGGTGGCTGCTCACGCCCGGGTGCAGGGACATCCCCTCCAGTGGCACTGGGATACTGGAAGGAGAGCCCCAGAGAGTCCGATCGGGTGGTTCTGTCCTGGCTCTGATTGTCTCAGCACCGCTTGGGTGGAAATGATGGCCAGGTTAAAAATCTGACAAGTTGTCGGGACAAGGACCTGAGGTCTGGGACTCGCTACGTCTTGATGAACAGCACGGTCCAAAGAATTGAGAGAACCCCTGTTTGTCTCTTCCTGCCCTAACTCCTGCTGGTGGCAGAGCCGCAGGCCGCAGGTCCGCTGGACGACACAGCAGGTGGGGCAGGGGTGGTGGGCTGTGGGGCCTGGAGGGCGACCAGGGGACACCTGCGGGACTGGGCTGAAGTGAGGACACGGGTTGCTGCTTGGCGCAGAGAAGAATTAGGAGAAGAATTAGGATTCTCTCCAATGTGCAGAGAGCATTTGTCTCCTCCCCACGGCCCCCACCCACGCCCGCCGCCAGTGGAGACCACCACCCTCTAGTCTCCAGCAGACAGCCTCTCGCCCTTTGGCTTTGGCTTCGTCCACAATCTAGCTCATTCCCGAAGAGATGGAGGTAGGGCGGGAGGGTGAGGTGGCTCCACGTGGGCCCCTAAGTCCCCACAGTGGCTCTTCTCTCTCCCTTCTCAGCTGGGACCTGGAGCAGGAGGCTGCAAGGAGAGGCGGGCAGAGGATTACACTTCTCCGTGCGTGACAAACAGCCAAGTAAGTAACGGAGAGCTGGTGCATTGGTGATGGAGCTGTGGAGGTGAAGATGCTGACTAAGACGTCTGTGTGGACCGCTCCAGGGTGCAGACCGTGTGCAGGCGCGGGCGGTTGCCCCGGGTGGCGGTGGGACAGAGCCCCTCCCCAGCCGCAGCCAGCTGGGTTCCCCTCCATCCCTCCTGGCCCTCCCCGGCGACTCCCCGCTGAGTGGCGGCTGTGGCCCGTGACCGCTC